AGCAAAGAGGATCACATTCTTCCTTATTAAACTAGACAACAAGGAAGGAATGAGATCAAAAGTAAAACTATAACAAAAAGAAAATTTTCTTCCAATTGCTAAAGTAGCACAACATTAGCTACCTTATTACATCTTCTTTAGACATGGGGAAAAACCACTTATTAAAATCATTGAGAAAAAAAGCTCTTTATTAATCCTATTATCATACATACCGTTCACCCTTCTTCAACGAATCTTGAATGAATTTGATCACATTGCACTATCACTTTCAATGATTAATCCTTTGCATTCCAACATCCAGCTTTTTAAGAATTCCCTGACCGAGAACACAGCTTCAAGCTCCAATTGAAGCAATATTCCTCAGTTGAGTTCCCGTCTTTTCCAAAGCACTAATTAACCTGCCTTTGTATCTCTTAAAGACTCCTCGACTGCAGCCAAATTTGATTTAGCAGAAGTCATCAACATTGATTTGATCCATTCTTTCGGTGGAGGGCACCAAGTGCATTGAGACTCCCTTGGGAGATTAGCACCCCAGCAGAAAGAAAGAGAATCGGATTTTGAAGTGGCTATGAACAGAGCATTAGAAGCAACCACTGAACTTTTGGTAAAGCACATTTCCCATGCTTACACATTATTTCTATTCTTCCATGAATGGTAAACTATATTACAATAATTCTGCAGCAATTCAGATTTTTCCTGTGCAATGCTTTTTAATCCCTGTAAATAGCTGTCAAGCGAATTGTAAACCGGGATAGGAATGCCCCATTCAACCATTTTTGCTATAACCTCAGTCATATGCTTGCAATGCACCATGATATGTTCATAAGATTTCACATTTCATTGCAACCTCTCGGACATGAATCATCAGATGCAATATTTCGGTTCTTCAAAAAAAAGATTAGTTGGAATGGCTGCTTCCACAATCTCCACCAGAAAACTTCTACTTTCTTCTTAAGCTTCAATTTCTGTAGCCAGGAAAAAAATCCATTCTTTCCATATTAAATCTGTTAATGAGATTTGTTCATATACCAAAGCTGAGACCGTTCTTGCCTGAACATTTCTTTCATCAATTTTCCAAATGGTCTTCACCTTTCAAAAACAATATGAACTTGGCTAATCAAGTGGACCAGATCAGGAGTGAAAAAATTCTGTAACATTTCTTGTATCCCATAATCCGTTACTAAGAATAAACTTGTGTACATAGTACTCCAATCCAACAGCATTGCAATCGATGAATGTAGGCCACCTGTTGAGACATCTATTCTAAAATCTAGTCATCATTTTAGAAACATTAACCTTATCACCCTTCCTATACTCCAACGAACGACCATCTCTTCAAGCAATTACCACCATCAACTAGAATTTCTCCAAAGCAGTTGAATTGTTTTTCTATATGAACTCCATTCATTATACATCATTGCCATATCTTGCTGCCATAACACGATTGCCAACAGGGGACTGTGGTTTCTGGATAAAGTTCCAAGCCAATTTGGAAACAGAGTGCACCGATTTTTCTGTCCAGTGGGGAATGTACTCCAGTCCTCCATAACATTTGGTTTACAGATTTCTTCCACGCCACATAGTGCGCATACCTTTACTTTCATCTTTTTTATGCCAAAGAAAACTTCTACAAAGTTTCTCTAACTCAAATAAAAGCCTTTGGGACTTATAGAATGAGTTACTAAAAAAAATAGGCATAGATAACAAGGAGCTGTCAATTGAGAACCAACTTCCCAACCTAAGGATAGGACTTCTTACTCCAAGCATTTTGAGCTTGTCAGTCACATTGCACAAAATGTCTTGAAAATCAGCAATTTTAACTCTATTAAGAGTTATCTTTGATCCCAAATACATTCATATCTTTAACAACTTTAAAACCAAGAACTCTAGCAATCTTGTTTTTCATAGGATTATTTAACAGCCTTTCCAAACATCAATTAGATGTGTTAATATTCACTTTTGCCCAGATCCACCTGCAAATCTCTTCCACAATATTCTTCAAATTCTTTGGCTAATATTCCACATTTGCATTAGAGAAGAATCAAAACATCGTCTGCGTTACAAAAGGTGCGGGTAACAGTAGGACCCCTAGGAGAAAATCTGAAATACCAAGCTTTTGTCCTCTTTGCATAATTGAATTTGATAAGAGTTGGGCACATTAAGATGAAAAGGTATGGAAGATAATGGGCATTCCTTGACGGAACCCACTATGAGCATCAATCCAATTAGAATTCTTCCCATTGATGATAATGGAAAACATACATCTACCACACATTCATAAGAAGTTTTAGAAAAAAACTAATGGAAAGCCATACCATTCAAGAACATACCAAAGAGAGTCCAACTCATGCCTATCATAAGCTTGCTCCATGTCAAGTTTTAATAGCCATCAATCCCTTCTTATCTTTGAGATTTTGAATTTGTGAAACACCTCTTGGGCCAAGAGAAACAAATGATCTTTGCATAATTTATTTCTACCATGAACAAAATGCCACCTGTTCTTCTGAATCAACTTAGAAATAATCTTCTTCAATCTATTAACCAACATTGTAGCCACAATCTGTTAGTTGGTTTTGACAAAGGCTAATCGGCCTATAGTTGTATGGATTCAAAGGACTTTAATTTTAGGAATTCAAAACAATCAACGTTTTTTTCCACTCCTTATGCATATGATAGGACTTTAAAAAAGCGTTTACCGCCTTCCAAAGAAGTCTCACTACTATGCATCCAATAGCTTTTGTAAATGAGTAAAGTAACTCCATCTAATCCAGAGAGAATTTGTTGTATGCCTTGCTGAAAAACAGAATTTTTTGAAGCTCCAAACTGAAAATTCTGTAGTGAGAGACGTGATATCCATCCTCTAGAAATTTTTCTGAGAGTCCCCAAAAAACTGCAGGCCAATCCGAGTTATGCATTCACTGTTTTTCCATTTTTTTCCAAAAACTGTATAAAAAGTCTTTCAATTTGATTCATCTTCATCAGTAACATTGTTTAGATCATCTACTGAATTTGATTTATTGTTCCCTTTTCTTCTTGCGCGTAGGCATAACAATGAAACAAATTTGGAATAGTATTCTCCTCTTCATTCCATCTCACACTTAGCCCTTTGATTCCACCAAGCTGGTAACCTCTTCCGAGTGACATTAAGTTCATGTACTTTACTTCCTTAAAACCATCAGGTCATCTCCCGACCCATTTATTCCCCATTGCTTCTTTGTTTTGAATTAATCCAATATTTTCTGTGTTTCAAATTTTCTTTCAGCCACATATTTAAATTCCTGCATTTGTTCCTTATCCAAAAGAATAGACTTTAAGAGTGCGTTTGAGCTTTCTTTGAGGATCCACAGCTCTCATCACCGAGATCTTCTTGTTCAAGGAATGAAAAACAATATCTGGATGCTGGATAGGACCTCCAAGTATCTTCAAATATGATACTTCTTTGAATTGAAACATAGCACTTCATACCATCTGAAGAACAACTATGGGACAGATCGGTGCCGAAAGCCAAGTCATCATTAATGTTTAGTAACATGCCACAGGAATTTCTGAATAAGCCATTAGAATAGCGCAACATTCTATCTAATCTCTCCCAGATTACGAGAATTCCCCTCCTTGATTGTTGTTACCATGTGATCTAAGTCCTCCACAAAATCCTATATCAATGAAAAATTCAGCTCAATCATAAACCTTTCACTCTCCCTAGGCACCCTTAGAGAATAAGATCTCTTTCCTCCTCTCTTATCTTCTTTGTTGATAATACAGTGAAATCTCCTCCTATAATAGAAGGAATGTCCTTACTGTCAAATGCTTTTCTAGGTTGTTTCCAAGATTCGGTTCTCTCCTCTGCAATAATCTGCTACCATAACACACTAGCAATTCTCGCAAGTTTCTAAAGAAGAACTAAAAGGATGCCAATAACCACCTGAGAAGTGGCTTCCACAAACTTTAACAAGAACCAACTTGCCTATTATAGTAAAACAAGAATGCCACCAAGAAACACCAAACAGCAGAGGATAATGAAAGAACTCACCATTACAAACTGCCAATTAAGATAATCAAATCTCCTTTCTATTAATGCTAGATAACATTGTTTCCCATCAAGTCCAACAAAGAAAACACCATGTTTCTTTAACAACTTCTTTTTAAATACAAGGAAGACCCTGCCCTTTTTTAGCTCCCCGCAATTTCCAAAAATAGGATGGAAAGACATTCCAAAAAAGAAGCAGAGTACTCTCCCCCACTAGTTGGGCATTACAACCTTCCAAACTTTTTTTCTTCTTCTTGTAGATCAATTTCAAACAAACGGTCCAAGGCGATCTCAATTCCTTAGCTACTTGACCTTGGCCAAACTAAGTTTTGAGAGCCCAGAAGCATATACAACTTTCTTCAACACTTGTAACAATACCAATTTTATCAGGCTATAATCATTGTTTTCAGCAATAGCCTCATTTATTTTCATCATAGCATTCTCCAAGATAATGCAGCAAATCATGTTGTTTTGGTTGACTACTTATCTCAGCAACCTCGAGTCGAACACCTACCATAATTAATAGGAGATTGTTACTTGGAGTCTTCTCAAGCTAATTCATAAGATCTTTAATCTTATTACCTGCCCTTCTCATTCTCATTTGTATGGTTTCAGCCTAAAAATCACCTATGAATGTTGGTATTTCTATTCTCCTCAGTATATTTCTTTCACATTTCCTCCATCTTGCCTACCAACAACATTTCTCCTGAATCTTCTATTTGAATTGAAACTTATTCCAAGGTATCCATATTCAGTGATTTGTTATGCTGCAATTATTACCTCACAGCATCTCAGGCTTCAAGTTTCACCCGTTAGCTTTGTCCTCAGCATTCTATAGATTATCATTCCTGGGATGCCATCACTATTATCAGGACATATTTTGACTCATGCCCCACTTACCACATTGGTTAGCAAAGTAAATCAACTTTTTCATATTCCCACCTTTGAAAAAAACTTCTTCCACGCACTTCCTTCAACCCAAACTCCCATTTTGGCAGTTTCTTCTCCAAGTAAATTTCTTGACGCAAAACTCGAGCAAATATCCGCTTGCATCCACGCGAAACGTATTACCATTCAAGGTATAAAGGTGATCCAATACCTGAGAGAAATCAGCAATACTTAGTCTTGACGTTCCAGCAATTACAGAGCGTAAGCCACGGTAATCTGATCCAGATTGGCAGCCGAAATTCCTTAAAAAATTGGATCGAACTCAGGCGTCACCTGTCCATACCCCACAATGCACCCATTCACAATACATGGTCTCTCCGTTCCAAAATTTCATCCCACCACCTCGTTCCAATTAGTGAATGGACACAGACGAAATCCAGGTTCAAATCCCTAATGATGTCAAGTGTAAATTCCATATTTGCTTGACCATTTGTCTCCTTATAGTTCTATCACTACTCACCGAAAAATGTCACATTATTCACCCATACTTTGATCACCAATGAAAATTTTTCAGAACTCTTGAATTCCAGCCTCCTTCTCAGCGTTAAATCTGACACTACTCCATCTTTAGGAAATCCATCTATTCATTTGTGAACGAAAATATTTAATAGGACTTGATTTATCAAGCATCGACACTTCCCGAATGAATACGTTCAGAGTAATCACCATTAAATTAACATTACATTTCTCCTGAATCTTAAGAAGCCGCCAAATTATGCATTCTATCTGTACCTCACTTCACTGTTTATGCCGATTATTTCAATAACGTCGTCCACCAAGACGAGCCAAAGAACTTCCAGGAATTAACTCTTCACCTCAAAACTGATAATTATTATGAAGCCCGAAGAAGATCAATATTTTACCAACATCTGGATTATATGAAACATTATCTTCTTTCTTGGACATTGTATAAACTTTCTTCTAAAGACTTGTCTTCCCCTTACCTTCATCAACAATATTACTGACGCTACAACACGTGCGCGCCAATCACTCTATCTCTTATATCTCCAACTAATCGCTCGAGCGATCCTTTGCCAAATTATCACTTGGGGAAGTTACACCAGAATGGCGATAGATCAAGTCATAGCCACCAGCAATCACCCGCCGCGATCATCGAAGATCGAACACACGCCCAAAAATCCGATCGCGGAAACCTGCGAAAATCGAAATTCGAAACTGAAGATGTTTTCATCTCTCTAAAGGAAACCTCACCAGAAGTTATTCTCTCTCAAGAAACGCATGTTGAAACCTAGGATTCACCTTTCTTTTAGCTAACTTAGCCTTATTTTTTATACAATGACTACACCTGAGTCAATTCATTTTGTTCTTGGAATACCCATTTAGTTCCCAACTACACTTTGATTCTTTTGCCATTGTAGTTATCCCAAACTTCATTTCTTACAAATTGACTTAATTCTTCTTGCATAGCTCAATATCCAAAATTCATGCCAAAAGTGTTTGATCAATATTTGTGAGTTCTAATCATTGACATAAAAGCTGAATGATTAACTTCTTTATTCGTCCATGCCTAGTCCAACCCTCACTAGGTTCACCATAAATCAATTTCCTTTGGGTGATTTTTAGAAAATCTCAATCTCTAGGAACCAGATTTACTATTTCAAATTTCTTTCAAATTATTTTCTCAATCTTTTGGGAGTTAATCTCTACCTCATCCTCTTCAATAATTGCTCTTCCAAAATTCCAGATTAATCAAAATATAATATGTTTGTGTCTCTCAATTACCAAAGTTCTTTTTGAATACTCTATAGAGATTTCCACACTTGAGTATCCTATAAAAATTCCTTCAATCTGATTTTGGGATCAAATTTTTAAGGAAGATTTTCATTATTAATGTTGAACACCTTATAATCTAGAAATTATGCAAATGGAGACAAAATTAGGTGTTCTTTCCCTTTTAGAATCATAGGATGTTTTTATTTAAAATTGATCTAACATTCACCCATATTCAGAACATAACATACTGTGCTAAACGCCTCAGCCCAAAATTATTTAGGGAAGAATATTTTGCCAATATGGGCTCGATACGGCATCTATTAATGTTTATATTTTTTTCGTTTCAACTATCCCATTCTGCTGAGGTTATAGGTGATAGAAAAAATTGTGATCAATTCCTTCCTCTTACAAAAAATCCTCAAATTTATTCTCAATTCTCCTCCATGATCCACTTGAATTGTCATGTAATCTCACATTCTAGTTTTCTTTGAATCAAAGCCAAAAAATTTCTAAATTCTTCAAATGATTCACTTCTTACGATATAGAAATCTAAAACCCATGTGATCTAGAAAATCATCCACAATCACAAATCCGTATATTCTTCCCTCCTAGGACTTCAGTTCCAACTGAGTCCAAAAAGATCCATATGTAAAATCGCTAATGGTTTACTAGTTCTAAGATCCTTATGGACTAAAAATAGAGGACTTCACCTATTTCCTAATTGACATGCATCGCAAAGTGATCCTTAGTAAAGTCTAGTTTTGGTATACCTCTTCACCAAGTTCTTTTGGGTAATCGTCCTAAGGTTTGCATGCTTGAGTGATAATGTCTCATATGCCAAAGCCATGACTCATCAAAAAATATATTTTAAACAAAAATTTGTAGGAGTATTTATGCAAATCAAGTCCAGCATATAACATGTTTACCCGGATACATCAAATTCAAGAAAACATATTACCAAATTGCTTAATATGCAACTCTGTAGGAAAAAATTTTACACAATAACCTTTTATCACATAACGACTTAAAAACGTTTTGAAGATTATACTTTAAGCCTCATACCAACAAAATATTTTCTCTAATAAAAAAGGTTTTAAGATATTCTACATACAACATACCACCTTTCCTGTTGGGTTATCATCATTAAGTGGATTAACCTGCCTTCCACTCCTGGACTTCCAGCGATATGAATATATGCAGTATCTCTAGGTCATATGCCCTTTGAAGCAATCGCTATCATGAACCAACATGCTCTCATGAGAGTCCTTGTGGTTAGAGTCAATCCTACAAAACACATCAAACCTGGAATCACCAAACCAAGTTTAGGTTCCTTTTTTGTAAATTATAAACAGATGCATGTATGGATATGTACTAAGTTTATGCATTCTTGAGGTCTCCAAGCAATCGAGGAAATAGGTTTTACTATTCTTTAAAGTAAGGTGTTGCGCTATATTTCCAACACAATCCACAAATTATGAGACATTTGACTCATCGGAAATGAGTTATCTTAAGTTTTCTATAGTTCTTCCGCCTATTTATTGATTGCATTAAATTTAGGATATCAAAATAGAGGTTAGTGTAATATTCAATCCTTCGTGGTATCCTATTATCTCTGAGAGCTTTTGATATATTTAATTCTATAAAAAAGTTATATCTACCTTCTAAATATGAATTCTATAATTTATTCGGATACATTTTCTGCTATCAAAAATTCCATCCCGTATTATTTTTTATTTTTCTTTTTGAAGTTCGTACATAGGATGATTTAGAATATTGAATGGTTCGCAATATCAAATCATTAAACTCATCAAGCAATTTCAGTGGTTCTTTATCAATAAAAGACTTGATCTCCTAGGATATCTTATTTCTCTTTGCTAGTTCTCTAAATTTTAAGTTCACACATAGCATTGCATTTTTCTTCAACTTTATATAATGCACATGTATACATTTTGAGACTTTTTAAAAAGTCATTTGTACAGTCAAGTCACATGACTCCTCTTGTATTTGACTGATTAGTTTTTTGAGACCATAAGCACATATTGTACGTTCCTTATCCTTTTAGTCCCTGATGATCTGAAACAGTCCGCATAAGAGAGAAGTCTTTTCGAATTTCTTCTTGCCCTTCCTTCACATTGCGTTTCTCCGCTACATTCTTCATCGCTAGGAGTGGGCCTTTTAATTTTTGGGCAGTCTGACTTCATATGTCAAGGTTCCTGACTCATTAGGCAATAACATCTTGTGAAATCTCCTCTCTT